ACCATGCCCCTTCCCTCCACCTTTGCCCCTTCCCCCACAGCAGACCTACTGGCCAGACACTGCTCTCCAAGCTGCTGGGCCACATATTGGCAGTCAGATTGGTATTGGCCAGTATGGCTCTTTTAAAAATTGGCCATTGGTATCGACCCAGAAAATCTCTACTGGTACACCCCTACCTGCGTGTATGTATGATGCACGCTGTTGCCAGTAGAGTTAAGTTTGTATGATCATAAGAGACTTGACCCCGTAAAATCCAAAGTCACTGTTGTGGACAGGTCTGATTTCCATATCACTTTTTAGTTAGTTGGAAGTGTTACACTGGACAAATAATTCTTCTTCTGAAATGCGTTGGGTTTATTTATAATATATATATGTAGCATAGTTTTGGAAATGATTATTGTTGGGTTGAGGTACATGTTAACTGTAACACTTGGGTCCAGCTTGTCCCTGGTTTTTAGTATCTTTGCTTTAGACTGCTCCTCCTTCCAGTGCACTTATATTTCTGTTAACATATTGATTCTTGCCTACAATAGCTGTAAAATGAACTGTTTCCCAGCTAAGGATGTTGTTTTTAGGTTCTTCTCCCAAACACTTCTTCAGTAGCCTTTAAACTCCTTCTTAGTTTTATACAAAAACACATTCTTCTTGGTGAAATATTCTACACGTGGCTATACCCAGGTTATCCCAAAATGAGACCCCAAATGGGGAGATGGAATTACTTAAAACAACCATCTTTTCCAATTAAATCTTCTTTCTTGGAGTCTCCGTGACTGAATAGGAAGCCTCATTCATCTGCTTTTAATACTAGTTACAAGAACAATTAGTAAACATTTTCCATATATTTCCATTTTCAAATTGGCAGGGCCAGGGTAGTGGTTCTCAACCTTTTGTACCAGGACCCATTTGGAAATGTTGATGGCCATCACAACCCAGTGCACCTGGTTCCTGACCCACTGCCCACCACCCTCAGGCCCTAGCCCCCCACTGTGTGGGGCAGGAAGTGGGTGTATGTGGGGCACGGGGCAGGGAGGGCCCAAGCAGCCCCTTTCAGGCTGAACTGTCCATTGGGTATAGGTAAATTTATAATGGGATTAAATGGACTTCTAACAACAAAGTGGATATAGGTTAGATATTAGAAAAAGTCTAACTGTAAGGATTGTTAAACACTATAACAGATTATACAGGGAGTTTGTAGCATCAGAGGTAGTTAAAAACAGTGTCTGGGACTTGTTTCTACAAAGAATGGTTTAGGTTTATAGTACCTTGAGGTTAGGACTAGACGACCTGTCAAAGTTGCTTCCAGCCCTAGTTCCTGTGACTTGCATAACAAAGTCCTCAGCTGGTATATTTTGAAGATCAGAATAAGTGCAGTGCTCTCCTAAAAACTGACAAGTGTAATTTTTGGCTAGTGACTCCATACTTGTAGAGCCCAATCCCATGAAGTACCATGCATTTTCAGTTTCTATGGAAAATGATGTAGGTGAAAGGTACACACAGCATCTTGTGAGAACAAGCCACACGGCTTTAATTAAGAGTTATGTGCCCCCAGAAGTCTCATTTTATTTCTGTTTTGAGGGATTCAGTGGTACATAGGCCTCTTCACAGTAGGATCCACCGCAGGACACATTGCTTGGGTGCAGAAAGTGAAACTATCAAGCATAGCGTCCACACCTTTTACCAGGTTACTGCACCTGGCTGTGCAATTTAAATTCAGCTGCAGGTCACACATTGTGCATAGATGAGATGACATTTCCAGACACATTCTTCTGAACTGTATTTTTTCAAGTGTGTGAAAAGAAACACTTTGAAAACCCAGAATTCCTCCCGGACAATGGTAAAATCCTTTTAAAATGAATGTGGTTACACAGGGCGAGTGAGACAGAAATCAAAACAGAGTACAGTAAATCTGAAGTTTTAAGATGAAGCTGGTCTTAGATTACGTAGAGAAAAGGCAGGTATGTACATTTGGAAAACATATCAATAAGGTTGGTCAGACATGAGCAAATGCAACTTTACTAGCTGTTCTGCAAGGAAAGAAATCACAATGGAGCTGAGAACAAGAGACATTTCAGCCTATTAGGTAAACTGTAAATACTCAAAAGTAGGTGCCTATGCCAGAAGTACGTTCCTTGTGGTAACTGCAAGCAAAATACAATTTTAAGTTCTGCTTCCTTAACCTTTCCAAAATCCACGGACTGTTTCTTTTCACGCCAGTCTGTGAAAAGACAGGCATGGCATGGTATTTTTTACAAATATCACATGATGAGTCAGATCAGTAGCCTGCATCACTCCAGAGTTATTTCAGTGGAGAAACTAAAGTTTACATCAAATGACGCTTCAGCTTGAACCTTTCCTTCCTACCAGGACCAAAAGAAAAAGTCTTCAATATTACAAACGCTTTGGGCTGTTCAGACACGAGCCTTCACACTGGCATGTTTGTGAACAGTGTTTTGTTTTTTTAATTCTGTGGCTTAGGTAGTCAAAGGTTTCAATTTTATTGTGTTCCCTCTGGCCTGCTTATAATAATGCCCACTTTTTTATTCTGTCTAATTCTGGGCTATAGCTTGCATTATTCCATAGAGCTAACTGGGTTATTGTCAATTTCCACACAGGATACTTGTGTAGGCAATAAGAGTGATCTAACTAACTCATTGAGTTTATTTCTTCTTAGATTTTCCACAAATCCATGTCTTTTTTGTTCTGCTCTTTTTACCAGGTTTTAATGGTACGGTTTGCATCTCTGTTTGATGCAAAGGAACGTACTGTCACCTTTCTTAGTGGAAAGAAGTACAGCGTGGATGAATTGCATTTGATGGGAGCCGGTGATCTGCTCAATTCCATGTTTGAATTTAGCGAGAAGCTAAATGCCCTGCAACTTAGTGATGAGGAAATGAGTTTGTTTACAGCAGTTGTCTTGGTATCTGCAGGTAAGGATACAAACTGAGTCTGCATCTGTGCCAAAACTTGAAAGCAATTCTTTGTTAGAGAAAAAGCTTCTAGAAAATGTATATAATTATGTCAAGCCTAACTGAATCCCTGTAGATCAACTTAATGGGCCTTATGTAAATTCCTAGTAGCCTGCAGTACAAGCTTTTACACCTCTGATATTCAGACAGCTCATGTAAAAATCACTGCTGATTCACAGATGTTTAGAGAGCCCTTCTTTTTACTGTGGAATCCAAATTTCCATTAAGAAGAAGAAAAATATTTAGCCTTTTTCCTGTACAAGAAAAAGATCACTGTCACTTTACAAACAAAATTATCTCACTACAATAAAAGCTCTGTTATCCGGCATCCCCCGGGAATGGGGGATGCTGGATAACAAAATATGCCAGTTAAATGAGCGGCCCCAGCTGCCGCTTCTTCCGCCACGTCCCACCACCCCTCCCACAGGCCCGGCGGGACAGGGAGGCAGGCCCCGCACAGCTCCACGCAGCCTGTTGTGTCCCCGGGCCGTGGGGGCTCGGCAGCGCGGGCTGCTTTCCCCTGGGCCTTGGGGGCTCGGAGAAACTGGAAGTGCTGTGGTGGGTACTTTTCCAGTTTCACTTTTCCTTACAATCCAGCATGCTGGTTAACAGAGCATGCCGGCTTCAAGGTGCCAGCTACCAGAGAGTTTACTGTATTATATTCATGTATTCTTTGTGGCAAACAAGAAGTAGCATCCACAGTGGAAACAGTGGGTCTAATGATTTCTCCCTCATCATACTACTTTTACAAAATGATGCCAGTAAAGGTGCTTGTACCAGTGCAAGTAATGGGAGAATCAGATACTTTTGAAATACTGATTTCAGAGACCACTAGGTATTTTGGTTGCCTAACATTTCAATCCTAATCTGGATCTGTATTGGAAGCAGCGTTTAGTTTAAACCATGAACCAGTAGTTAAATTAAACCATGAACAAGGCTACTGGGTACATGCAGTAGGCTGTGCTTTGCCCATGGTGCACAGCTCTGTGTGCATATAAATCCCAAAATTGTAGCCAGGCAAAAATGAAGTGGGGAGGCAGCCTATTTTTGCTCAATAGCTGGGTGGGTAGGGCATTTGCTGAGGAAGTGGGAAACTTAAGGCTGTAGGTTCTCCTGATTCAGAGGGGGTTTGATGCTGTCTCTCCTATCTTTCCAGCACAGTGCCATAGTCACCAGGTCACAAGTTAAGCATTATCCAGTTTCTCGCCTTCCTTTTGAAGCTATGGCACTGCACTTAGTATTTAATATTGTTTGGATAAGATGGGTAGAAAGCAGTGGGGAAGGCTTTTTCCCCTTTGAGAGCAAGAAGTCAGGCCAGGGAACCCAGGGCCTGAGCTCTATCCCTCTTACTGAGCCATGCTTGTTTTATTTATTTATTTATTTATTTCCTGGCCTCACATTTTCCTGTCTTGGCATCCCAGGGGCCCAGCTTCAACAGGAACAGCTGGAGTGGTTGCAAGTTAAGCACATCTTTAAGCCCTCTTCTTAAATAAAGATGCTTTCCTGAATTAGGGCATTCATGTCAATCACCTGTATACTCTGTAGTTAAAAACTAAGCTGATTTGACTTGGGAGTCATAAAAAAGCAGCTAAAACTTTGAACATTTTACAGTGTTGTTGCTGTAATAAGCTTATTTAGGACAACAGAACAAAGCCGTGTGTACTACATGAACTCCCAAGCATGGTGAAGCTGCACCCCAGCTAATGTGCCTGTTCAGAAGTGCATTAGCTTTTTCCCCACAATATATAAGGAAAGATGGAGTTGTAGCCCTGTTTCGCTGTACAGACACCTTGGGATGCCATGTCCTTCCAAGAGAATGAGACACATGGCAGGAGTTCTGCCTCACCTGTACCTATTCATAGGTTCCACAAAGAGAGAGTTTTCTAAAGTCAGACCCTAAAACTGGGATCCTGAAAGGCGGGGACTTTAAGTAAGGAGTTACAAGTGTTGAGCACTCCTGATCCCCGTTGGTCAGTAGACACTGCCCTGTGCCTCCCCATTTCTGAAAGAGAAGCTTCTTTCATTTAGGTACTAGAAGCTCTGATTCAGCAGGGATTTAAGCACATGCTTAAGTCCACCCCTATTAAACCAAGCACGTAAGCAAATGTTGTGTTGAAACGTAATGTGATTGACGCCCTGCAGGTTGAATGCGTGTGTGAGAATGTTGTTGACCCAGAGTCCGTAAGACTGAACCAGTCTTCTTTACAGACAGCTCGCTGCAGGCACCCAGATTTGAACATCTTGACTCGGGTGCTTATACTACTACTTTCTCTCTTAGCTGATTTGGACACTAACTGGTTTTAAGTTACAAGCCATATCTGTCTTCCCCCCCCCCCCCCCCCCCCCCC